AGTAGCCAGCTTGGTAACTGAGGTGAATGATAAAAATGCCAGACTATTCTTCAGGGAAAACAATTGCAGTGCTCTAGTTTGAGTGGGCACTTACATTCAAGAGAGGAATTAGGACACTGGAAGGCTGTGACCACCTTAATCATAGGGAAAGGCCCTACTCTGCCTGCTCATCCGCCATGCCCTCAGAGAGTTCACTGTGTATGCACCAGCCAAGGTGAATGCTCTGAAAATAACAGAAATAATGACTTTGCATTTCCAAGGTGATACCCAATACACACTTGAAATCAACACACAGAGAGGATAAAATAGCTTGTAACTAGCTGACTTGAAAGCACTTATTTAAATACCTAACCCTGTGCTAGGAAATGTTGCCCTAACTATAATTAATTCCCTGAATAAAATGCAGTTTCAGAGTGATTGCCACAAAGTATGGGCCAGTAAGGATGAGCTATCTTGGTCCTCGTCCTCACTGAAGATGTCGTGATCTTGGCAGAACACACACTAACTCAGTGGTTAACGATTTTAAAAGGCTTATACCTAGGCTTTGCACCTGTTATTGTTCCATGTGTGAGCAAGTCATCCTTTATGAGTCTTCCCTTACTTCTCTAGAAAACTAGGATCATACTCACTACTTCTTGCTGTTTTTGTGGGAATATAGTGAAATGGCTCGATGAGGCCAATGAGAAATGAGCATGTTTCAATTAAAAATTATCCTGCTGGTCCTCGGAATGGTAGCCTTAGTGATCGCATCCTTGCCTTGCATCCACCAGGATCCCATGTGGGCACCAGTTTGTATCCCAGCTGCTCCACTTCCCATTCAGCTAGCTCCCTGCTTGTGGTCTTGGAAAGCAGTAGAAGACAGTCCAAGGTCTTGGGACCCTGCCTCTGAATGGGAGACTCAGAAGAGGCTCCTGGTTTTTGACTTTGGATCAATTCAGCTCCAGCCCTTGCAGTCCCCTGGGGAGTTAGCCAGCAAATGGAAGATCTTTCTCTCTATATCACCTTCTTTTTACATATCTGCCCTTCCCCCCAAAAAATGAATCTTAAAAAAAAAAAGGTCCTGCTAATCATACTGAAGCATACAAATACAGGTGCAGTTACAGAGATCTTAAAGGAGCTGGGGACAAAGCGATAGAGCATAGACATGACATATCTGCAAAACCAGGCTCATACCCCAACACTAGTCCAGGTATTTCTGCAACTTTCAGCATTGTTTGTCCTCAGAATTTTTGACCTGAGGAATGGGATTACGACTATGTATATTCTTTCACGGATGTATTAGAGAATAAAATGAGCATATCTAACATGGTCCCTAACACCTATTCAGCTGGTATTCGTAAGAATATTCTTAGCTGTAGCACAGGAAAAGTGGGCTAAATGAGGTTAATTAGGCTACTTAGTATATAACTGTTAATAAAATAAAGAGATAGCCACACAATCAGCTACCTTTAGCAGAAGAATGCTTGCTAAAATAAGTACGATGTTTTTAACTGGCATGTAACATGCGAAATTGGTGGTGGCTTACCTTGTATTAACAGGTAATGCTAACAGCTACTACATATTTAATGAAAAGACTTCACTTAATAATCTCAGTATCCCTTTCAATAATATGGTATTATCCTGAATGGATGAGCAAACAGGGGCTTGCACAGTGGCATGGCGAGGGAACCCTCCATCTGTGATGCTGGCATCCGATATGACACCAGTTCATGTTCTAGCTGCTCCACTTCTGATTTAGCTCCCTGCTGTTGGCCTAGAAAGCAACAGAGGAGGACCCAGTTCCCTGGAGCCCTGCACCAACATGGAAAGAAAGAAGCTCCTGGATTCCAGCTTCGGATGAGCTCAGCTCTGGCCAATATGGCTATTTGGAGACTAAGCCAGCAGATGCAAGATCTCTCTCTCTCTCTCTCTTTCTCTCTGTCACTAATTCTGTCTATAAAATCTATTCACCTTTCAAATAAAAATAAATAAATCTTTTGAAAAAATAATGAAGAAAGCACCCAGTGAATTCAAGACTGGCTGTCTGGGAAGTAGACATTGTATGATTTGCTCTCTGATCAGCCTAAACCTGCAGCCCATCATCTTTTTACAATTTAGGCAACATTTTCTCCCTTATAAAGAATTCCATAGTGTTGTAGAAAGTAGCAAATACCTAATTAATGTTCTGGGAAGGGAGAGAGCAAAACCATAGACCTTATCTATGACACTGCCTATTTCCCCTGAAGCAGAACATCAGAGAAAGAGAGAGAAACTTTAAAATGACATGATATTTCTGACAATATGCTCTAGATGGAAGTTGATTGTGGTAAGGAATTGACCACTTAGTAAATGACTGATGCACCAAATGTCATGATAACTATCTATTTTTCTCTTGATGACAAAGTTCATAAGATCCTATAAGACGAATAGTTTCTTGTCACTATATAAAATGCAGCAGCCCTAAAGAGAAAAAAAAATTAATACAAAATAACTTGCTAACCAGTAATTCCCTGAATATGCATGGCCTCCAGTTCTGTTTAGAAAGGTTAAGTGTTTCTGAATCTGGCTGCTAGACTTATAAGGAACTATAAGTGCTCTGGCCAGTTAGGAAATTTAATTTTCTACTCAAATTAACCATTTGTCCGTACAGAGAGGAAAGCTGTGCTCCCTAACAAGACTGCGAGCGGGGAAGGCAGGGGCCTACAGAAAAACAGAATGGATGCTGAAAAATGCAGTCAGTGCTTTCATGGTTTCATGCTGTGGAGTCAATTCACCTGCAGTCAGACTATGTAGGCCCCAGTTTCTGAATGACACATAAAAGTCAGCTGGAAATGCTTTGAAAGAATATCCATCCTTTTTTGGGTGGGACCATCGATGCCAAGGCACTAGACTTGCCTGACATCTTTCAGAAGCACAGTCAAGTCTGGTGTCATCCAACAGTACTTTATCTGTCCATCTCTTCCTGGTAACACAGTCTCAACTCCACTTGGAGTGCCTGCAAATGAAATACTTCTGAGATGGACAGGTGCCGCTGAGCAGCCTCTTTTATTTTCTCTACATCTAGCAATGGCAATCACAAAAATAGCAACCATAATCACAGCCAACTCCAATGAGAAGCATTTGACACACTGGGAACTAATTCTTATCAGTGAATCTCCATTTCCAAATCAACAAAATGGTTAGACCATACAGCATGCAAATACATGGAACCTATGGACCTGGATTTAAACTTAGTTCTGCCAATGCGAGGCCACTTTCACTATGGCATGTAAAGTCCCTTAAACCTCTTCTTCAGCTTATAAAAGTATAGCAAGCCTATTGCTCTGCTACTGCACCTTCCACATTAGGCAGTTAGATTTGATTACCTCAATATCTGAACCTCTGATTTTCCTTACAGCTCTTGGTTTGGCAAACCCTTGAGCCCGTATGTGCTCCTTACTGACAAAAGTGGAAATTCTGTCAAACCAAAGTTTGTCCTGTGACTGATCTATCAGCTTCACCAATCTTGTTTACGCCCCCCTGACATTCTGTTTCATGCTTGGAGATTTAAAGAAAGTGACAGGAGCTTCTCTCTGGGTTCCTTTCATAGCAAACAGGGACACACAAACATGAATCCTGTTTCTATCAGTATGGCTACTTTCCTGGATGCTTCCTGCCCTCGCTTTTAGCACTAGATTTCTTGACAGATATTATCCTAAGTGGAAACACTAGAACACTGTATAATCCACTGACTTCCAAGAGAATGGATGATGGCCAACAATACATTCCTCAAACCCTTGGCTGGAGTTTTGTCTTCAAAAAGCTCGGGCTGTTCTGCAGGAAGCCTTTTTCTTCCTGTTTTCTAGCTTTGTTTTTGGTGTGTGAGTCTTTATGATTCAAACTCTTACCTATTTCTTTCAATTTAGAAACATATTGAATTGAAAATAGATCTAGATCTTATTTTTTGCAAAAGCGAAATTATATGAGCCACGGACTGTTCTTCAAGATTTCACCCTTAACTGTTTCAGCACTCTAATACTAATGAATATTTAAAGCATTTTTAAGGCAAATACATAAATATTTCTGAAAACATACTTATCTAGAGTTGAAACTATTTCTCTTTCTCTGTTTCTCCCTCCCTTTATCACTATAATATTTCTAGGATAATATTTGAAATCCACATCTACAAACATGCCATTAACCAACAAGTCATCCTTAGAGACATAATGTACAAGTTATACAATGCTAGTGCGCTTTCAATAAAATCATCTAGCATGGGCAGCCATACTAGCATTTGAGCGACTGGCTATAGAGAAAAGACGTGCACAGTTCAACAGAAAAAAAAAATAGAATTGAGCTTTATTCCTAATAAAAGAAACACTTTGATAAAGGATTATTTCTCACCACCAAATATATTCTGAACAAGTGAAGTTTTTAAATGCCAGAGAAAAATTTTTTTTTCTAAGAGACACCAAGACAGATACGCTGACCAATCGGAAATGCCTATGAAATGATAAGAAAATAATCTCAAAGACAAACAGCAAATACAGAAATGAGGAAGAAACTTGTGAAAGCATTGACACAGAGGACTTAAGCCTCTAGATTCTTGTTCATAATTCATTGTAACTGCTGAAAGGGACAGGAGACTAACAATGCTTTTTCAAAGGTAAAAAAAAGTAACAAAAAATGAACTATAAAAGCTTCATTCAAGCATGCTGGAAAACACTTGAAATGTTGCATTGCCATTAAGCTGCTGAAGGACTATCATGATGCTTCTGGCTTTAGGCTCTGAATGGAGCTCTCAAAAAGGCAGAAATACACATAACCTGCACTCACCCAAGCATATGGGAAAAACACAAGGACACAATGATATACATATACATATATATATACCACAGGAGTTTGGAAGTATCATGGTCAAACTCCTGTGGTCTGCTGAGCACAGCATCCATGTCAGCCACACAGAGTGTCCATACGATTGCATATTGTACTGATAAGCTAATTATTTCAGGTAGCCAGTATTTCTTGAAAAATAGAAATACCTTATGGGACTAGAGGTGATATCAGGGTCACGGGCAGTCACTTGTCCAATCACAGAGTTTAAAGCAGCATTTTCATGAACTTCAAGGAGGTAAGTTGGCGAAGAGAAGACGGGAGGTTCATCGGCATCCTCCACAACGATTTTCACCGTCGCCGTGTCTCTGAAGGGCACCGTGCCACTGAAGCGTGGGTCGATGTGCACGTTGGTTGCCTCCACCTTCAGAGTATAGGATTTTTTGGTCTCAAAGTCCAGAGGCTGTAAAGAAATGACGGAGATAAATGCTTTTTACCAATGACCACAGCAGCAAGAACAAACGAGTATAATGCTGATGAATGCAAGTTACGTGCTTTTAAGTCCATTCGTGAGACTTAATGGGAAGTCCCTCCATTCCCCCTAGATTCAACCTGTAAATCGTACAGGCATTTATGGATATCTGTTTATGATACAAGCTCACTGAATCTAATCTCCCATTGTTTTGTTTTGTTTTGCTCATTTCACTTGGAATTCACAAAATATTCACAGTCATGAATTGCGCCATCAAAATTTCACTTCAGAGTCATAATAAAATTTTACTAGTGACAGCATGACCTGCATACTAATCAGCCAGTTAATCATCCCTCTGCCAGGAGGAGATAAGACAGCGGCATCGAACACAATCTCTATCTGGGAAGAAAATTTTATCATTTCTGCAACAGTGTGTGAAATGTAAAGAACTAGAAATAATCATTGTTTAGTCCAAGAAGACATTATAAAGCATAATGTAGCAGCATTCACCACAAAGATAGTCTTTTTCTTTTTTTTTTTAAACTTCCAAAGCATTACCACTCTACTGATCATACAGCTAAAATGAGGTTTATTTTTTAGGGTATTCTTAGAGGGTTTCTATTGTAAATGCTATATAGGAAGCAAGAAAATATATAAAGAAAAGAATGTATATATGCATGTATATACATATATAAAAATACATATCTACTGAATTCCTACTGGAATCATGGAACAAGGAAGCATGAGGCCAGGATAGATAAACAAGTGAGTGTGCCCGTGCTCTCATGCATCATTTACAATGGGAGACTTTCTCTCTGCACCATTACTGATGATACTTAGGATCTATTAATACATCATCCTTTGAATGTCCAGGAGACACTACGTAATGCCCTAGGTAAGTAGGGCTATGCGGAAAAGCAGAGTGCCCTTAAATAAATGGGAAGCCCATCTGTATCATAACGCTTGCCGTCCAATTCTTGGCAACTCATAACACTACAGATTTTAAACATGCAAGTCTGTCAAGATGCACAGAACTACTTTAGGTCTGTTCACAATTTCTCCTAAGAACTTTAAATCTGCAATGCAGATTTTAGGATGATAAGAAGCCGGAATACAGACTGGCATCAGTAAACTCCGGTTTCCTGTGAAAGCTTAAATATATGTTCTTATTTCGGTATTGTGTGCTGATTTTCATATTGGAATTCAGATCTGCATGAGTCTTTAGTTTTCTTTTGTGCTGCGGTATTTTTTTTAGTAATAAGGCAGATGCAGACTTCCAATTTATTCTGGAATTATTAGAAACATGTGTCCATGGACTGACGACTGAACATTAGCAAATTTCCAATTTGCCACTACTGTAAAGATTTTAATTCATTTGCAAACATGACATATATTTCTGTTTTATTGTTAATTTTCAATTGACAAGTAATAAGTGTATAACTATGATATATAACGTGGTATTTTCATGCATGTGGAATCTCATGGAGTCAAACAGTTGAATTCTCATGACTCTCACCAGTCTATCTTACTAATATGTCGGTAGGTAGGAATGAATAAAATTTTGTCTTTAAATATTTTTGAAATATACAATTGATTATCATTAATCGTGCCCAGCACTAAATTCAATAGATAAATAATCTTATCCTGTCACTCTAACAGTACGCTCTGATGCCTCTCTTCCCTTGCCCATCCTTCCCCAGCTTCTGGTGACACTGCAAGCCCTTCAACACTGTTCTAGAGACAGGGTTCACAAGCTTTCATTAGAAGGAGGTAATGGGTAGGGGGCAGTTCAGTGGTTTCACTGGCTAATCCTCAATCTCCAAGTGCCGGGATCCCATATAGGCTCCAGTTTGTAGTCTGAAGGCTCCACTTTCCCATCCAGCTCCCTGCCCATGGCCTGGGAAAGCACTGGAGGATCCCTTGGGTCTCTGAACCCATGTAGGAGACCAGGAAGAAAGTTCCAGCTCCTGGCTTCCAGTCAGCTCAGCTCCAGCTCTTATGGTCATCTGGGCAGTGAACCAGCAGATGGAAAATATTCTTTTTTGTCTCTCCATTTCTCTGAAAAACTGTTTTTCCAATAAAAATAAATAAACCTTCGAAAAAGAGAGAGGTTCTTGGGGCTTGTCTGTGCATGAAAAGGAAAGCAGGTACTCCATGAACCTTCTTCTATGACTTGTTATGGCAGAAACTCAAGATCAGAAAGTTTTTTTCTGTAAGAAGGATCTGGGACTTGGATTGATTAATTCTTTGCTCTACACAATGACAATGTACCAAAAACTACTCTGGTGTCTTTCAGACTTTCTTAGACAAATTCTTTAGGGTAAAATACACACATTTCTTGCAGTCAGGGTACACAGTATGTGCATCGAAGTTCATGAATGAATAACAGTGAACAAAATACATAAAGCAACTAATTGTTCCAGTTTATAAAAGTATCTTATAACAAACAAGGATAGCAGCTAATAATAAGAGTAACAATGGAATAATTACTAAAGGAAAGTGTGGCTCTTGGTTTATTCAATAATTGACTTAAGTCTAATTGTGTTGTGTTGCCCTTATAACATGAATGTTTAAGTACTGGGCAATTCTTCATGTTATATTCAAGCCAATGTCCTGATGTAAAGACAGTTTCCTTCAATAGAGAGCTATAATAAGAGCAACCACCTTCTTCTCAAAATTGATTTTAAACTATTTTTGTAAGAGTTATATCCAGAAAACTCACATCCCCATGGTGAATGTCTGCCCAAAACAGTATTTTAAGAATAAGGACACTGACGCATACCCAAGTATAACAGAATAGAACCACACAGAAACGTTCCTCATATCAATGTAATGCTGGCAAAGAAAAAGGAAAAAAAACCATTGTCTTCCTAAAATGTGTTCCACAATTTATCTTCTTACTCATGAAGAAGCAAATTTATGTAAAAATCAGCCTGATGTACTTTTAAGTCAGGAAGAATAAGACCAAACAAAATAACCATGATGAGGGTAAAATGCTTTGCCCATAAAACAGTGTAAATATGGTATGCCCATAAAATAAAGAAATGTGGCACATACATTTCTTGTACATGTGTATTTCATAAAAAAACACAAATGAATAACATGGTACAGAATTTTTCACATATGTCACAAAACAACTTGTTGGCAGCAATGATAAGAATAACTCTGAAATTGTCACTAACAAAATCTTCCCCTCTGCAGTGATAGCCTCATGTCCAGCAGCAAGACAAAACCTTGGTCTTTTGATCCATGACGAGGCTGCTCTTTTCCTTCAGTAAGGATGCTCAGCCTGTCTTTGGTTTTCCCAGAAAACCGAGCCTCTCATAAAGACTTGGGAAATTTCAGTGTATTTGGGAAGATGTTTAAAGAAAAAACAAGAGTGCACGGATGAGGAAAGTTATATAAGGAAACGCTCAAAACCATTGAACTTGTCACCTCTGTGGGCAACAGAAGGTGGCTTCTACTGCAGATCCTCTCAGGAACCTTAAACAATAAGCCCAAGAATAATTTCTTCAAAGAATAGCAACTACCCACCAGTTTTTCTCCCTTCCCCGCCCCGGTTAAAGTGCCTTGAGGGCACTCCCTTCCCCACAGGCTGTAGAATTGTGTGCTATCTCTGAACAAATTATTTTGGCTTAAGGAAAAATACTGAGATATAGACTAGGAGGAAAAGAAAAAGTAAAGTGACATGAGAAGCTATCAGGATGATGTCACCATAATGGTGTTTGTTCACCAGAGCTTTAGTTGAAATGTAAAGTAGGCCCAAGGGATAGAAGGTGGATGAGAATTCTAGGTACCACATCTCACAGCTAAAGGCTAAGCATCTCCCAGGTCCAGCCTCCCTGTCAAAAAGATAGCCCAAGTCGTGCAAATTTCAAAACTCAAGAGCTACCTTCCTTAACTTACCTTCCTTAGTCTTATAATGCCATCCTGGGCCTGTGCATCAGATGTGATTTCAAAAAGTGCTATTCCATCTCCATCAACGATGTCATAGGATGACTGTGCATTTTCACCAATATCCTGATCGTTGGCCTTCACTCTTCCTATGGCAGTGCCGAGAACCACATCTTCTGGTACCGAGAAGTGATACATACCTTAGGAAAGAAGGGAGACACTGAGAACAGCACATAACACAATCCCTCATTCATTCATTCATTCATTCACTCATTCATTCATGCTGTAAACCCTCATTTGTTGCTTCCTCAGTTCTGGGCATTCCTCCAGATATTACCAATGTAGTGACTGAAAATACATAAATACCCACTGCTCTTTTGGAACATGGACTTCTCAAGGATTTCATGATAAACTATCAGAAGTAGTGGCATCTCTTCCTGATAATTCTGATAATGAAACTTACTCAACCACATGCTTGTTAAGCAAGTTGGGACAGTTATACCAGAATGCTAGTGGATCTATGTGAAAGTTCTTTCAATTTGCTGTATAATCACACCGACTGCCTGTGGGGATATTCATTGTTGCCCAACATAAAATACGAAGCTAATTTCAGCACAGAAAGATGCAATGTGTAACACACTGAAAGTCACTTTTGAACTCACCTTTATATTTACAGACTTGTAGACTATTTTTGATAAAATCCAATTACTAAACTTCTGTTGTGCCCCGAAGCAAGCTGTTCAGACACATGAAACACTTCCCTTGTTACTAAAGTCCTCATGGCTCTGAAGACCAAAATGCTACCTTCAAAACTCCCTGGGCAAAATACAATTACAAAGTGTATTCGTTCTCCTATGGGGATGGTAAAACATGTCTAATTAGTGGCATCGGTCCCCTTTTTATTCAAATTACTTTCATTGTAGTGGTGTCAACTGACTTTCCATGGAGTAGGGAAAGCTGATGCCACTGCCATCCCAACTCCTGGCATTTAACACTTTAGTGCACCCCTACCTTACATTTAACCACCAGCTCCTCCACTTACTTGCCTGAGGGGTTTCTTGGGTCTTCAAATCCCATTTTACCCAGTTCATGTCAACCAGAATGTTTAGACAAGCAAAACCCCTAACAAAGCAGCCCTTGAAGATGCATAGAAGTTAATACAGAAAATCCTAAGCACTGTCCTCTCTCTGAAAAGAACATGGTTTGTTTGTATCCTTCATTTCTTCACAGTGGTCCAAACTTCCACCAGTAAGAAAGTAGTCATCCACAATGCCAACTGGCTTGCAAAGACATTTTTTCAGCTCTCCTTTCCTCTCTCTCATGCTTCCTCTGTGTTCTTTGGGGCCATCTCCAATTTAAGCTACTCACAATCAAATTCTTGACTCAGTGCCAATTTCTGGAGAACTCAAATTCCGACAACGAGGAAGTCTTGTCGCTTTTAAATTACAGCAAAAGGAAAATAACCATTCAAAAACAATGAACCCAGAAGGAAAAACTAAATCTGGAGTACATTATCTAATTCTAGCTTGAACTCCATCTCAGAGTCCCTGCTTCAGCCAACACTCATTTTATCCAATATAGTAAGGTTGATTTATATGATGAGTAAAGTTTCTCTTAGCCCTAACACTCTTTTACTTAATGATGAAATAAGAGCACCTCTTAAAACCATGAAGTTATAGAATTGGGAAACAAAACCGCTTTCAAATAGTTTTACCATCAGCTAGGCAATGAACATCTCCATGCTGAGCCCAAGTTTCCCGGTGCCCTCATAGTTGTGCAATGTTTCCATTTTCTTCAATATTCATATCCTGGGCAAGGGTTGAGGGGAGGTTTAAGAGTACCTTTAGGTATGCTTAATAAGTAATTAATCCAGTGAGGTACTTCACCTTGCCACCAGGAGCCTCTGAGAATCAAACAAATGGAACATTTCCTCACCATTCCTATTATGCACATTCTCTTCACCTCAACCAGTGTGATCATAGTTAAAGATCATTATCTCTAAGAAAGTCGATACCTTTTAAATTCATCTGTCACTGCTGAATTGAAATAATGGATTTCTGGAACCAGGGTGTTGGAGCAGTAAGCTAATCCTTTGCCCTGTGCTGCTGGCATGCCATATGGGCACTGGTTTGTGTCTCAATGCCACACTTCTGAACCAGGTCTCTGTTATGACCTGGGAAGACAACAGAGGATGGCCTAAGCCCTTGTGACCCCATGGAATACGTGGAAGAAGGTCCTGGCTCCTGGGTGCAGATCTGAGCAGCTCAGCTCTGGGCATTGCAGCCATTTGGTGAGTAAACCTTGGGATAGCAGACCTCTCTCCTTCGTTCTTTGTAAAACCTGCCTTTCAAATGAAAATAAGTAAACCTGTTTTTTTAAAAAAAGAAATATTAAATTTCTGATAAAAAGTTGCACATTATACCATTAAATATAATGGCATCTAACAGGAGATTTTGCCAATTGCCATTTGTGATGATGTTGTCAACCATGGTGACCTCCTTGTGAAGTGAAATAAGTCAGAGAGAAGCGATGGTTCCTGATCTCACTGACACAAGGAATCTAAAACAAATACATAATAAGCAAACACACCTGATCAATGACACAGGCTTAGGCAGTGCCATTCTTCCTTTACCAGTTTCACCTTTTTGTCAACTAATCCTACTCACCCTTCATCTCTCCACTCAAAAGTCCCTGGGTCAGCAAGGCCTTGCCAAAACATCTCTGTATGTGATACCACTTGGGTGAATCCTGAGAAGAAAAGTGCGTTTCACGGAATAAACAAGCCGGCCCACACAGGCTACGTTTCTGACTCATTGATGATGTCTGTCTGGAGAGAAGCTCAAGTCTCTAGACTTCTCAGGGAAGAGTATGAGCAAAGAGTCAGTAGATTCAGACAGGTGTGTATTTTGCAGTAAGAATACCGAATATTTACTTTCGCCTTTTTGAAATGAGGGGTTGGGTTTCTTTTTCTATTACATAAAACTCTCCTAAAACTGCATTTTCCACACATAATTACTGTTACAATTTGGTTCCCTTCATATAACAAATGGGACTAACAATGGGCGATGTCTGAATTTCATTTTCACCATTCTCTCAGGTTGATTCTAATCCTGTTACTCAATGTACACTTGATAGTTAGAAATTTCCTCAACTTCTTTGAAATCTATAATATGTAGTATTAACTTGACACGAAAATTGGTTTCCACATGTACATATATGCTATACCTCACACAGAAAGGGCACTCAATGAATGCACAAGTCTTTTGAATGTAATTGAAAACTATAGTACATATTCAAATGGAAACACCACACTTGGAGCTTTGGCCAGCACAGGAAATTTACTCACTTTGTGCAAATTTTGGAGGATTGTCGTTAACATCGGTAAGGGTCACTGTTAGTGTTGTGGTCCCAGACAGGCCACCAGAGTGTCCACCCATATCTTTGGCTTGGATAACAACCAGATACTCCTCCTTGGCTTCTCTGTCCATGTTGGGGAGGGCAGTTTTTATAATAGCTGGGAGAGAAAATGGAAGTATGATTTTGTTAGACACAAAAATCTTTCAGCAATGAATTTATGAATAGTACACATACTCACACACGCAGTTTGTGTAAACACACACACATAGACCTATCAAGTCCTCACTCAGATAATTTTGTTTTCTTTTAATGTTTAGCTGTTGTATATCACGGATACCAACACTGAGCGATTATTCATAGATACTTATAGATAACACGCAAAAGTGCATGTTAGAATGCATGGAGAAAGACCTCGTGAAAATTAGACATTAGAAAGTGGACTGAATAGTGAGTGTATCCTGCCTACAAAATTAAAGTATAAATCACAACGCAGCTTCATCCACCAAGGAAAACTCTGGAAGCGAAAGAATTCTACAATTTATCACATACCGCCAATTCCCTTGCAAGATGACTAAATATATAAATAGCTTGAAGGTTCTAAGGTCAAAGACAAATTATTCTGCAGCTCACAAATACTCAGGGAGATGAAAGAAATTAATGTACTATTAGAATCAACTCAGATGAATAAAACACCAATCAGAATTAATATAGTCAGTTGTCTAAATCCTAAAATACTTCTCAAATGTATTTATATTTTAATTGCTTGATTTCACCTTCGCAGTTGTAAATGTAACAAATAGTTTAGATTCACGGGAGATACAGAAAATAGAAAAACTGATAATCCATAAAACCACAAGAAATGAGATAAATCATTGGTGCTAAAATCTCAGTACCTTTTCTCCTGATATATTTGCAAGATCCTATATATGTCAATTTCACTAGTAATTTTTTGTTCTTTCTATAGCCAAAAAATCCATTTAGACATTTCTCAAGATATTCTGAAAATATTTAATGGCTCTTTATTTGTCTCCATGCCAGTCTTCATAGATGAATAAAGCTGAAATTTTGCTGTGCATAACTCCAAGTTCATCATGTGGATGCACAGACAGAATATTATAATGAAATAGGCATTGCTCTGAAAGTTATCACAGTGGATGTTCTTTCAAAAAAAGGATTTATTCATTTTATTTGAAAGGTAGGTTTTACACAAAGAGAGAGAAAGAGAGAGACAGACACACACAGAGAGAGAGAGAGAGAGAGAGAGAGAGAATTTTCTATCTGCTCGATCACTCCCCAAATGGCCACAACTACCAGAGTTGAGCTGATGCCAGGCTGGGAGTCAGGAGCTTCTGCTGGATTTCCACATGGATATAAGAGTCCTAAGGTGATGGGTCCTCCTCAGCTGATACCTCACCCTGGCTTTTTATCAGCTCAGCTCTGGTCTTTAAAGTCTATATGGAGATTGAAACAATAGATTGAAGATATCGCGCACTCTCTCTCTGTCTCTCCTTGTGGTGTCTCCTTCCAAATGAATAGAAACTTTTTTCTTAATGCTGACTCCCTCAGAATCTTCCAATTGGCTCACCATTTAATATTTGTCTTGATCAAATGAAAGAAAACTGCTCAGAAAAAAAAAATACCTTGTTCACCCTGCACCTCCTGCACCTCCTGCACACCTAATATCAGGGACACTTTAAAGACTCATTTCAAATTGAGCTTGAGGCCCTCTTGCAGTCACTTGGGTGTTTTAATTCTGCTGCGGTTTGGTTTACTTTTGCACTTACATGCTTACATGTGCTGTCTATGGGAGGCCTGCAAATTGAAGTCCCTGAATTATATGAGTAGCAGAAAAAAAAACCCAAGAGTTGTCTGGGAAATGTAATTCACCTAAAAGCCGACTGCGATCTAGGACAAATTCCTATGCACTTTATTAGACTTTGACACTACTTTTATATCATTCCGGAAGAAAAACACCCATGTGGGGGGACTTGGAGGAAGCTCCTGGCTCCCAGCTTTGGATAAGCTCAGCTCCAGACAGCTGCTGCAGCCACTGGAGAGTGACCCAACACATGGAAGATTCTTTCTCTCTCTCTCTTTCTCTCTCTCTCTCCTGCTTCCCTCCCTCCCTTGCTCTTCCTCGATCCATCCCTGTCTTTCTTTCCTACTCTCTGTAAATCTGCTTTTTAACTAAAAATACAATAAATCTTTAAAAAATGCTAACTAGCTAGGGATCTTCCTATTGGATCTTAGGTAGTGTGATGATGAATATCAATATATATTGGAGGGCATCAAAAATTTCCATAATTAATGGAGAGCCGTGAGCATTTCTTGTTCAGTTTGGTAAGTGACACCCTGCACCATGATGCTTCACATAAATTCTGATGTAATTCCTAACTTAGCTATGCTGTCGTCAATCACACAAAAAAATCATTTTAATTTTAAATGTCTGAAAGATACAACCATTTAAAATTTTTTTCACTTTCACAAGACATATTTTTAGCATGATGTTACTTCACTTTACTCAATCTTGACTCTGAGGAAGTAATAGGAATATTTCCATTAATTACATGAAGAGGCTTCATGTATAGACCCTCCTCCACCAACGTCCTTGGTAAAAATTGCCATCTTCTTTGAGAAAATATATGATTTGTTTCTCTGATTACTAGAAATGACATGTTGAATTCCAAAGATCCATGGATAGTTTCTATCTTAGAACTTGAAGGTACCTAAACTTCACAGCCATTCAGGCAAATACCAGGGGTAAAATAACTTTCTAGTTTTTTATAACAAATTTTGACACACAGTAAATCTAATTGTGTAGGTATATCTATATAGACATAGATGTATGTATGTATATGTGTGAGTGTACACCTGTCTTTGCATCTCAGTTGATTAATGATGATATTTTATTAATGTTGTGGGTTTTTTAATTTATTTTTCTTCAACAATGCCTTACAATGATCCAAATCGAAATGGTTGTTGTATTTCATTCCTTATTTTTACTACCTAAGTATTATCAATGAGTATTTTATGAAATGATCGAACGGTAAAAGAAAACACGTGCAGGGAAAGACATGATTATACTTCCGTAAATGCTTCAGTATCAGCAGGGTTACTCCTAGGTTTGCCTCCTACAATGCTATTATTCTGGAATATTACTAGAGTAAAACTTTATCTAGCATTCAATAGCTGTCCCATTTTCTTGTTGTTGAGGACTGGGGAGTGACAATGGCAATAATAATGCTTGCCTCAGAATCCTTCATTATATTTTGTTCTCTCTCTTACCACAAACACACCTTTGCCATGAGACTCGCTGTTAAATTTTCCTACCTCGTCCTATTCCTGACAGGACCGTAAAAGTTTATTTTTAGGGTACTAGTACTTTATCTAAGTCCGAAACAGGCCAACAAGCATTGCACATACGAAAGTTTTCCAAGGACTTTTATAGCTCACAATTTCTCCAATGCTATAATGAGCTGGGGTTCAGATGCCAGCTCCTTGAGAAAGCAGGGAAGGTATAGTTCCATATCTGTAAAATGAGAATATCATCTCTTCCGTTAATTGAGTTGTTCCAGATGATATGGCTGGGAAGTTGTCTATCCAGGAGTCCTCACACTTCACCTTTTCTAATATGTTTTTGAGAGTAAGTTTCCTTATTTCTAAAGTAGGTGAAGAGTCTCTTCAAGGTTTCTTTAAGACATCGAACGCACTTAATTGGCTTCAGATCAATCCCCGTAATAAAGCACTTTTGATCTTCCTTGACCCACGACTGCTAGTCTCACCCAACAACTTGCTACGACTTCATAGAAAACTTCTGGAAATTATGCTCAACTATCTGGGAACCATAAGGTCAAGAGAGGATAAACAACGCATGTCTTTGACCCTTGTACTTCTCTGTTGGTGAAGAAGATTAGCTATTCATGTTGCTTTAGTTCTTTATGACTATTCAAAAAACAGGACCAGTTCAACCTCATAGATAATACACGATACTGATCAATTCCTTAGATTAAAATCTCTCCCTCATAATACACGCCTCCTCTTGTTCTCACTCTCATTCTTCCTCATAAAATGGAGAGCCAAAGAGTAGGTGTTTGGCCCCATTGTTGAGCACAGATGTGCTGCTTGCCTTCCTTGGGGGCACTTGGGTTGGTTTCTGTGTTCCAGTGGAATTGTAGGCTCTGCTTGAGAGGCAGCGTTAAGGACTGACACAATTGGGATCCTGCTGTCATGTTGTAGACAAACTCCTGGTTTCAGCATGGGCCGTTTCCAGCCACCTTAGGAATTTTAGAAATCTGTATCTCTCTTCCTCTCAATTTTTGATAAGTCATTCTACCTCTCTTCCCATTTTTGGTTCACATATTCTCTTAAGTACTATCTTAGCTTTAGGGTGTTTCTTTTGTGAATAAGGGAAAGAAGTTCTCTATGTTTGAAATCATTGTTCTGTTTTAAACATTAAATATTACCTAACACACAACAGAAAATACAGTAATCAGGCAAGGCTCTTCTTCCTCTTAGATTTAAGAATTCAGAAAGTTTGACTAATGAATATTAAAAAATGGACTAATGGCTAAAGTCCTCACCTTGAACGCCCAGGATCCTATATGGGCGCCGGTTCTAATCCCGACAGCTCCACTTCCTATCCAGCTCCCTGCTTGTGGTCTGGGAAAGCAGTCGAGGACGGCCCAAAGGTTTAGGACCCTGCACCCGTGTGGGATACCTGGAAGAAGTTCCTGGATCCTGGCTTTGGATCAGCATAGCATCGACCGTTGCGCTCACTTGGGGAGTGAATCATCGGATGGAAGATCTTCCTCTCTGTCTCTCCTCCTCTCTGTATATCTGACTTTCCAATAAATAAATAAATCTTAAAAAAAATAAAATACAAAAATAAAAGATAAGTGGGGATAAGCACTGTGAATAATCTTCTATCTGTGCCTTTGGCATCGATATGAGCACCAGTTCCTGTCCTTGCTGCTCTGCTTCTGATCCAGCTGCCTGCTAATGGTCCGGGAAAGCAGTGGAAGAGGGCCTAAATCTTTGGACCCATAAGTCCATGGGTATTTGATAATGAGCCTCACAATGCAACAAGGAGAATCAACCTAGATAATTATTTTTTATTCCAGGATAAGACTTGGAGTTGATGCAACTAAAATTAAATGA